AAATGAAAATTGCTAATTATTTACTTAACTTTTAGTATATTAGACGAATCTTTAAACACATAATTATATTTATGTTGCTTCTCGAACGAATTTTTTATATTTTTTATATGGCAGATTAAATTTTAAACCTATTATTATTCATTGTGATTTTTGTTAGTCAAAGTAAATGTATTTGGTTGGTTACAAGTTTATTATCGTAGTCGTTCTCTTTTTTACCTAATTATATATATATATATTTAAATTTACCAATGTAAGGATCTTCAGTTGAGTAGTAAGGATTTCCTCCCCCTACATCTAGCCTCACATTCTTCACGAGTTTCAAAATTGTTGGCATTTCCACCACATCCACCATATATGAAAGATACACAACTCTGGTGGCTGGGACTGTAATGATACCGCTGTAATGATTCACGACAAGGTCCATGATCTCTTGGCATCTGACAGATGTCTAAATGGATTAAGTAACAATGGTTTAATCTGGGTAACACTTGTCCTACACAAATACATCTTTGAAACTGTGTTTCCTCGTAACTTAAGTGACAGCAAATACATTAGTGGCAAGAATGAAAACAGCTGTGAAACAAAAATTTAAAAAATACAATTTAAAAAAAAATCGAAATAATAAGCATTTTAAGCAGTTAAAAAAAATATTTTCCCAAATCAATAAATAACTTATTTGAGAATATTTTTCATGCAGAGTTTGAAACTAGCAAACAAATTTAATAAAATCTACGTATAGAATGAAAAGAAATAAATTAAAATTATTTGTATGAATGTAAAGTGTAAGTATTTCGAGGAAGTATCAAATAAATAATCAAAAAAGGTGTAAACAAAATAGTTTTTACAAATATATGAAGGAAACCATTAATACATATATAAACTATAAAACATACTCCATGTAATATAAAATATGATATAGAAACGAAAAATATTGAATTTTGAAAATGGGGTTGACTACGAAATGCCTCTTTCTGAAACCAAGTCCACACAGCAAAGAATACCTTACCAAAAAACCTTAAACTATAGTATATGTTACTGAGGAAGAAAATTAAATATTGATCAAAAATATTCAAACCACTCTGTGTATACAATGGACATAGTTTGGGAAACAGGTAAGGAAGATCATACAACGAATCCTTTAAACTAAACAGTTTATGGAAGCCAACTTATCTGCTGTTAATTTTTCGTATTTTGTATTACTCTATTTTTAATACAACGATCTTCAGTATAATTGTGAGGATTACCTTTTACACAACTAGCTTCACATTCCTCACGAGTTTCGAAATTGTTGGCATTTCCTCCACATCCACCATATATGAAAGATACACAACTCTGGTGGCTGGGACTGTAATGATACCGCTGTAATGATTCACGACAAGGTCCATGTTCTCTTGGCATCTGACAGATGTCTAAACAGATTAAGTAACAATGGTTTAATCCGGGTAACACTTGTCCTACACAAATACGTTTTCTCGTAACTTAATTGACAGCAAATACGTTAGTGGCAAGAATAAAAACAGCTGTGAAACAAAAACTAAAAAATAAAGTTTGAAAAAACATAAAATCGAAATGATTGGCGTAAAGTAAATTATAGAATTAAATTAAATGTTACGAAAAATAATACATAATAAATTAAGTATTGAAAATGAATTTATTTTAAAAATGGATCTTATAAAAACTTCATCCCTAAGAAGAATTCCGACATAAAAGGAAGACCCAACAAACAGGTAGGAGCTACAATACATACTATTGATGAAATTTAAATACGTCCTAACCCCCCCCCCCCCCCCACGTTATGCATCAGTGTAGTGTAACCAGGAGTCTAGGTCTTACATACAATGAAAACCAAATTGAGTCAAAACACATCGTCATTATCACAGACTATTACAGACTATCGCTACCGAGTCTATTAAATTGACCGACCTCGTAACCATTATGTCCTCATGCATTCTACAGTGTAACATTAAATTTAAATATTGAAAGTTATGTTTGGATTATCTATGTATAACTGTATCATCCCTATAATCTTGTTTGTATTATTTTGGTCTCTGACATCACTACATCATTTTTTATGACTAGCTGCCTTTTCTCTTGTCTTTCATTCCGAAATTAGGGACGGAAAGCACAGAGAACCCTCGTGTAGCTCTGCGCGAAATTCAAAACCAATCCATTTTATTATGAAATTTACCTGATGTCACTGAATTAAACCACTTTCATGAACGTTTTCTTCAATAACACCAGACAAAAACAAGAAAGGGAAGTCAGGCCTCTTGTGATAGCGAAATATTATATACATATATTTCAAATTACTCTTACTTAATAGTATTAAAACTATATATTTTGTTACCACTACGTCTTTGCTGTAAAGCACATAGATAAAAAGGTAAACAATCATATATCGTACAAATAACATGATATAAGTTATAAAAACTTATAATTTAAACTTAAAATTATAACTATATAAGTGTAAGTATTTCAGATATGTCAGGGAAGTATGAAATAAATTATGAAAAAATACAATGGTAAAAATTAAGTTTTTAAACATTTATGAAGGAAACCATTCATACAAATACGAACTATAAAATACACTCTATGTAATATAAAATATGATATAGAAACGAAAATTACTGAATTTTGAAAATGGGGTTGACTACGAAAAGAGAAGACACAAATGTGTATTGCTGAAAATAATTCAACACATCAAAATTACCTTACAAAAAACTTAAAACTAAAATATAGATCATTGAGGAAAGATTTAAATAATTATCAAAAATATTCAAACCTCTCAATGTTTACAATGGACATAGCTTGGGAAAGAGTTAAGAAATATGACACAATGGACCATTTAAAACTAAACAGTTTTATGGAAGTTAACTTATCTGCTGTTAATATTTCATATTTTGTATCTCTCTATTTCTTAATAACTTACAAATAAAACGATCTCCAATATAATCGTGAGGATTACCTTTAACACACCTAGCTTCACATTCTTCTTGAGTTTCAAAATTGTTTTCATTTCCCTCACATCCGCCATATATGAAACGGATACAACTCCTCCTGCATCTACTGTAATAATACCTTTGTTTTGATTCACCACAAGGACCACGTTCTCTTGGAAGGTCACAAATATCTCTACCTGTAAATTAAAATAAAAGGATATTAATTATAGCACACAACAACGTTTGAGGATGTTATATTAAAACTATTTTAGAGCCATACGACGTTGTCATCACAGAGTTCAGTCATGCTCCATCTGACGACTGTGCATCTTGATAATAGTCGTTCAGCGTAGTTTCCTTTGCAGAAGGCTCTATCAGAAGGCTGTCATGACAACAATGTCTCCCTCTCCTTGTAATCTACTCATAAACCAATTATGTTTTAGAATACTATTTCGTAACACCCACTTCAACCTTCAAATTGCACAGAAATCTGTAGGTACTGCATCTGTTTTTTTAACCGATACCCTTCGTTTGGAAAAGCATGAATAGTCACTGTTTCTTTCTCCAGCTGCTTGAAGCATGCTAGTTTGAACGGATTTGTCATGGGAACAGCTTGTGCTGGTTTTACAGATGGAGATCCATTTTGATTATGTCGTATATATTGTTGACCAAGGAATGTGTATAGCTTTTGTCAATGACCTTTGCTTTCGTGAATATTTATCCGTTACAAAACGTTGCACTTTTTGTACCACGACTGGAGTACAACTTGATGCAGGTCTCCTTATGGTTGGTCTTGGTGTCCCAAGTTCATTCATATTCCCTTATTTTCTTATACCACTAAGTACAAATTCCGACCTGGACAAATCTTAATGATCTTACTGTACGAATATTTTGTATTGGAAAGAACTGCTTCATATTATTTCCAAAAGGGGTCAATTTTGGACGTCACGAAATGTCAAATGCACTTTTGATGCTCACCATTCCACCGTAACTGCATATAGGCTGTGGTTATCACTTGCTTTGCTAATTTGCATATTCAAGATTGTTCTGATTATCCACATCTTTGGAGGTGTAAAAATAGATGTACAATACCGTTTAAAATCTGTTCAGAAACTAATAAATAATAAAATTAAATACTCGTTCACATAAATCTTCTAAAACAAGCAGATGATCGCATTAATCTGAAGTGAACTGAACTTTATGAAAACTCAGATTAGGTGCATTAATTCAATTGGGAACGAGTTCCGTGTACTTTATACACGTATAAAACATACTGTAGATAAAAAACAGATACTTAAAACTAAAATATTAAAATTTAAACTATTAATAATTCACTTTAAAAA